AGCGGCGTCGAGCGACTCATTCAATGTCACTTTGCATGGGCATGGTCTTTGTCGTCGTTAAAGGTTACCAGAGTCCCCAACTCCCAGCTAGGGATGTGGCAACTACAACAACAGCGACAGAGACGTCGATGCCACTTCAGCGCCCGCCTTGGAGGCTGTTGCTGCTGCTTGGCCTTGTCATCATTTGCATAAGAAATTTATCTCAATGAGTAGCTAATTGGGAAATTGCGACATGCCTTGAGCCTCATACCTCCACCAGTTCCCTGACCACCCCTCACACAGTCAACAAAAATAGAGCTGTACGAATCCTTAGCACGTCAGTTTTATTTCTCTAATCCTTGAACTAATTTAGAGAACGAATCACTGCAGCTCCTCAGCTTAGCATTTGGTCTTAGCAATGCCGACTATTCAAATAAGAGAAAAACTGATTTTATTGAATTATTTAAATCTTGTTTATATTTGCTTTCAAAATAGTCCAAGGACAAGTGAGAAAGATAAATAGAATTTATAGATTAGACTCTTATATATTTAGAATTGTATAACACTCTTTCAATACTTGTTGCCTAAAATTATTTAAATTTCTTCAATATTGACTTTATGAAATAACGCTAAGAAATGTAATAAGGTTGAATATATTCAATTATTCAATATATTTTATTTATTTAATATAGGTGAGCTGAAATTAAATATATACACCAGCAAATATGTACTCTTTAGAAATAGATACATTTTTTATTGTGGTAATGTTTTTTTTTTATATTTGCTCATAAAAAAGGATAAATTAAAAAATTGTTTTAATTCTTCTTGTTTTATTAATTTCGCGAGGTCAGCACTATTGGAGTGGCCAGCATTGTGTGAGCGGGAATGAGCATTTGACTAATTGCGAAAACACTCAGTGTGATATTATAGGCAGCTTAATTTAGATATACACATTCGCAAACACAATTGGCCAACTGAGTTCATTAGCAGGTTTCCCAGTCCCGCTGGCCTCCCCGTTGGCTGTGGGCGCATACATGGCTTGCAGGCCATATCAATGCTCTGGCCTGCCAACTCCAATTGCCCGATAATGCGAGACAAACCCCAAATTAAATTAATTGCACATTTTAATTGACAACGTATCAAATCAATTTGCATCAAAGACGGCGATTAATGTATGAATGCAACCGGATCGAGGCCTGTTTGTCACTTGCCCAGCCTTTTGGCAAGCATAATGAGTTGGAGCTGGCGCTTGTGGCTGTCCATTTAACATTGTTGGGCCTTTGAATGCCAATAAATTAAACCAGGTGTGCAGTAGGGCGTGTTAAGCTCACATATTGTTTGGAGGCAAGTAAAATGCCCACGGAGCATATAAGTGATTAGCCCGCGCCCATAGTTCGAAAAGGGCAAGATACGAACCCCAAAAATGAATCTTTAGTATTTGGCACCACAATTGTTGCATTAAAGAAAATATTTTGTAGGTAAAATATTTTAATTGACTTTAAAAGCAGTGGGAGATAAAATAATATGATATCGCTTTCTTGTCATTCCTTGACGATAAAGCGGAATAACCCAAGAAATGGTTTATAAACATCTATTCCCAAAAATGAGCTTTAGTAACATAAAATGTTTGGCTGGTATCGTTCAAGCGTTACTTATTCCTACCTATATCGTAGGCGATTTTATTCTATTCTATTTGTATGCAAATATTTTATCTTCTTGCCATTCTATTTATAAAGAGAACATTAAATGGAAATTGACAATTTATACTAGATGACCTTAATATTTCTGACACTTTTTATGCTATCCTGTTTATAAAATTAAAAACATAGTTTCTGCATAAGTGGGGATATTAATGTTTGCCACTCTTAAATGTATGGTATATTTGTTTACAGCTAATGGCTAAAAATTGACACTTGACAATGGCAATTTTTAGCATTTAAAGTGGTTTAGAATTATTTTTAATTGCTTGAACATGAAACCAAATCAAATAAATAAGTGCGATTCTAGGCCTGGACCTCCGATACTGTCGAATTTCAATTTTTTTGGTTACTAAAAAGTGTGTAGTTGACTATGCTAACTACCAGCATTTAATGTGATTTTTTAATTAATATTAATTGCTTTAATTAGCATGAAATAAAATGAATTAAGTGAATAAGATGAATTATTATGAATATTCTTCATTCGGGATGAGAGTAAACATGAAGCGATCGTTTGGTATATGGGAATAAAAATGGATCAGCTTAATGTTTATACCTATACCTTATATTCCACCCAGTGCTTAAGATTTACATTTCCGTCTGTATGTAAGAGTATGTTTTTTTTTGGTAAACTTAGTATACATATTTAGCTGTAGCCAAACAAAAAACAAATACTAGAAAAATAAAATATAAAAGACAAATTTTGGATATTAGCAGCGGGCCAAAGGTGAATTTGGAATGCAACTGGGAAATGCATGTGGATGTGTTTGGCTGACTGCGGCTGCTGCAATTTCCCAGAGCAATTTCTTACACAGCAAGCATAATTATTACTTGATTGAGGCTGCCGAAGTGTGTATGTCTCACTGTGTGTGTGCATGTATGAGCCAAAGTGCCTGAGAGAAACACAACAATCGCTTCAACTTTGTATACTTTCTACCATTGAAAATGCGTAAAAAAGGGTATATGATATTAAGTGTTTCTAGAGGCTTGCGAATTAATATTAAATATAATTAAATAAATGAAAAATGCATTATTCAGCATTAAAGAAATTACAATTATTCTCCTTAAAGAAGTTACATAATCAAGCTACAAAAATTCGATAAGGATCAGAATATAATAACAGAATTTATTCAAAAATGCATTTTGCATAACGTAGGTAGGAGTAAGAAGAAATACGACCCTGCATAATATACATATGTATATGTGCGTAGTTGTGTATAGAAGGCTGTTTGCTAGGGCACCCGGCGCAAAGTACAGGGTGTTTTCCAATCGGGTGCTTCCAACTAGATCACTTTCTTTTTTTTTTTTATTTGTGGTCGTCCCTCTGCCAAAAGCGGAAATTCATTGTATGCGCAACAAACTTGAAGAGCGCATGCAACAACTACAACAACAGCAAAGGCAATTGTGCACTTACAACAAAATGCCTGCATGTGCACGCATGCATGTTCGTGTGTGTGTGTGCGTGAGTATGCATTTTAACGCCAAAGTATGCGTGCGTGTAATTTATGTTTTCAACTTAATTAAAGTTAATTTTTAATGCTGGGCGTGGACGACAGGACTGCTGGCGTGGGCGCGCCAAAGGCGCTTAAAGGCGCTCGCAAACATTTTAACAACACTTGGCATTTCATGCTGGTGACATTAAACAGCATCAGAAGCAGCAACTGCAACTTTTGTCATGCAATGAGGTCAACAATGAGCGTCCGCAAAAAGTATGCTGTGTTTTTTTATACTTGGTTTTCTGCTCTGCTCGACTGTTTCATAAAAATGCCAATTACATGCATGCTGCTGGTTGTAATAAAAGGGGTCACTTGGAAACGGCACAATTTAATTATAAATAAAAAACAACAGACCTTAGCTGCTATGAAAGCAACAGATTAAATGCGATCAATAGTTAACTAAGATTTAATGAATTGGCTGTGATATTAAAAAAAAAACGATTTATATTACTTATTCTGACTTTATTGGTATTGGCTGAAGGAAATGTAACTTCTCGCTGACCTTAAATTTATTTTCTTTAAAGGCAAGTGGAAGGTTTTTTAAATAAATGTGATAAATAATTTATAATAAAAACGATTATAAAATTATTTCAACTGATAAATTAATTAGTTATTGACAGACAGATTAACTGATTATAAATTAACTGAACAAATTGGCAGACTTGTTGACAGACTAACTGGTTCATTGATTGGCTCACTGATTAATTGACTATTTTTAAAACACTTGGCTAAATCCACACCAACATAAACATTTCTTGAACGGATTGGCTGTCTGATTTATTGAGAGGCGAACCGACTGATTGATTTTTAATTACTTAAATTTATTTCAAAAACGGATGATCTTTAATTAGATTTAAATATAATTTTATTTGATATGTGTTTTTTTTTTTTTTTCTCAAACGGTTATACACATTGGTTGTCAATAAAATCAGGTTTTTCTTTTAAATTAAAATTGACTTACCATGCAATTAAAATGTATTTATTTAACCCACTGTTGTGGGTGGAATTTCCCAAATCTCTGAAACACGTATTTATTAAGTTCTTATGTAGAACTCCGAAAAAAGTTTGAAGCAAATCGGACAAATCTTAAAACTTCACCAAAAAAGATGCTTTGATTCTGCGAAAAATGTGAAACAGGTCTCAAATGATTTTTCATATAGATTTAAGCGCGAAACCTCACCCACCAAATCTTTGACACCCATTTCCGCCAAGGAGGAATACATTTTTGTAAAAGTGTGAAACACCCGTCAAATTAATTTGAACAAAGATCTTTGAAAATGAGTTTGTGGCCAATCGGATGATAACCAAAACAGATTCATGCAAACGTTTTTCGCGATTTTTCCATACTTGCAGCTTGGATTTCCCGAAACCCCATCTTAACGTCCACCTTCATCACGTAAGGGAACTAAATTGAAAATTTCAGGTTCCTAGCTCTTACTATGCGTTAATTACCAATCAGTCAGTCAGGACAAACAGATTTGTATATAGAGGTATAAAAAAAAAAAAATTAAAAAAATTTATTTTTCTTAAATGTAGCTTCCACCAAAACTAAGTTGATTAATATTTTTGGTACGGGGAATGGGTATCATGTGGTCGGGCTCTCTTGTCAGGAGCAGTCTTGGCTTTGGCCTCCCCATAAAATCAATAAAATTTCTTGAAACCACAAAAATAGGTATAAATGAATGTAGAGACATGGTAAATAACTAATTGGTTTTGTTTATTAAAATGTTGTGCTCATTGAATTCTTGTTTTAATTAATGGTTATAGCTAAATCAATACGATTAGATTTAGTAAATTATGCACACAAGATTAAATCACATATTTATTGTTAGACATCATCTGTATATGGCGAAATGCTGTCAAAGCTAAGCGGGCAATGGCTATGCAAAATCTGCTGGCAGTTCTCTTCGCGCAGGTAGGCCATGTGATGCTTCTCGTGTTCATCCAGGCTGTTCAAAAAGAAAAAAAAGAAACAAACCAAATTGTTTAGTTGACAGTTGGAAGCCAATTTTGGCACAACTTACGTAAACATATACTTAAATAGTTTATGCAAGAAACCCTGACTATGATCCCCAGATATTGCTGTGCAATATGCCTTCAGGACACAGGCCTGACCGTCGAATCCACTACGGTCCATAAGCTCATGGACCAGCTCGTACGTATCCCTTCTGAAGGGGCGATTCTCACGCTTCACTAGGACTGGCGTGTTGGCACGAAACCCATAGCCATGGGCCCAAACTGTTGGCTTTGGTATCACATTGTTTTTGACGTTAACGCGGAACTTTCAAATTGAAAAACGTACAATTAGCTATGGACAATGGCAAGTGAAGCTGTTGCTGCTCAACTGTTACCTACAAACAAACGAGTTGTCTCTATAATGTCCAAAAAGCGTTTGGGTCGACTGTGCGGCGATGTTGCATTTTGCTCCAATGCTACAGCCAGGGTAGCCAGAGCAGCAGTAAGTAACAGAGATAATCGGAGAACGCCCATTCTTGCCGCTGCAGCCGAAGAGTTTAACTAAACCTCGAGTGACATGTTAGAAAAGTGTCAAATGCATAAGATTCTATGAGAAGTCAAACTCGTTCTGATTATAATACTGATTGTGACTTTGCTGCTAATTGATCTAATTCACCAAACTCCAAGTTTCAGTTAACGAAAATAGTTAACAAAATTGAAAAAAGTTAAAAAAAAGAAGAAAAATTAAGCCTTTAGGCGTTAATCTCTTGATCTGAAGCTAACATTTAAGAAATGTGATATAAAATTAAAAAGTTAAATTAAAACAAGAGGTTCTAGTCGGGAGCTTAATAAAGATAAATTAAAAAAAAGGTTTCCTTGGCAGGGTTTGCACTCGCAACTGACCGCATTACTTGCTAACGACTCTACTCAACAGCCACAACAGCCAACAAAAAAAGTACAGTTTCCCCGGTAGGACTCGAACTCGCGACAGACCGCAGCACTTGCTACTCGACAGCCACACCAATAATTGTATTTTGTTGAAAAAAAAAAACGAATTAAAGTCGCAGAACAGAAAACAATCGCAATTACAATGCTGTTAATAGAATTCGAAGCAGACGTGCATAAATGTGTGCATGTACATGTATACAGAAATTCTTGCAATTTGTCCAATCCAATTGTGCAGTAAAAGAAAATTTTGGGTTCTTCTTAACCGATCTTATTGAAATTTTCTACAGTATATCTTATTGTACCATAGGATATTTCTGCATTCTCAAAATGTCAATTGTATTAATTTAACTTATTATAGCTCTGCGGTTGAGTGGCGATAGGTATAAAATGAAAGATACTTGGTATACATTTAATATTCTAGAAGCAACATATCAAGTTTGGTGACTCTAGCTCTTATTATTTACTCTTATTTATTACGGACGGAAAGACGAACGGACGGACGGACAGACTGACGGACATGGCTAGATAGAATATATATATACTTTATGGGGTCGAAGATGCTTCCTTCTGCCTGCTACATCCATTTGCACGAAAACATTATACTATTTTTAAACATTCTCAATGGGATCAGGGTATAAAAACGCTTTCTAAAAATTTATATTTTAGGATAATTTTATCAAAATGGAATACAATAATCGAATGGAATAAAAACAAACATGAAAAATGTTCATTGCATGGTGATTTTTTAATATTTAATAATTTTGAAATCGACTCATCTCAAGCAAATAAAAAAACAGACAATATTCATAAATCTTATGAAAAATATGAATAACTTTAAAATTTATTAAACAATATTTTGACTTTTTAGAAAGTTGATTAAAATTCTTATGTTATAATGAGTACCGAGTCACTGACCATTCCCAGCTATGAGTAGGGTCATAGCTTGCCGGATAGGCTATAAATTTTCCCCCACCAGGTCGGCGATTTCCCATTACTATCTCTTTATCTTATTTACTTAACACTCTATATATCTAGTATACATTTCTTTACTTCATTAACAACTTCTTTCTTTCTTTTTTCCTATTTATTGTTATTATTTTTAATTTTACTTGAGAACACTATTTTGGGCTCTGATGCTTTTGGAAAATTTTGTGTTTTGATTAGGTTTTTAGTATTTAATTTTTACAAATATGTATTGAATAATTGGGAAGACCATGAATAAATAAATAAAAACGTTCATCTAAGTCTAATCTAAGTCTAAAACCAGAGTGATAATAGAGTGGTAGTGGCAGAGAGCCCTATTCGCTGCCTAACCAATCAAAGATTTCTAGAAAGAATAAGATAAGATTGACTAGAGTCGCAATTAAACCCTGAACCATCAGGATGACTCCAAGAATGTTGGTTTGCCCGCCCTGATTTCTGTCCGAAAATATCCAACAACTCCTGTATGAAAACTAAACTGTTTTCTCAGATAAATATTTTTGAAAAAACTGGCCAGCCAGACAGGTTAGTCCCTGCGGGCTCTAACAGGTTTTTCGTGTAGCCCACAAGCGTTTTTACAGATGCGACACTTTCACCAGATGTCCGTGACATCCTCTTTCCGCCACCACTTAAACCTAGATTAGCATAATCCTTTGGTTTTGGTTAAATGCGTATTCATATTCTCTTAACTTTTCTTTTCATAAATACACACTCACCTGAATATTAACTTGAGCAGCTTGAACAACATTCCGCTTTTCTGCTGGGGCTTATCCACATCAAAAATTGCCGTACAGAAAGATTTCAATAAACAGGCACGTCCATCAAAGCCATGGCTATGAAGAGACTCGATTGAAACAAACGCAACAACTCCATGAAAACTCCATGACTTACCCATCTAAGGCATTTTCCACTTTTGAAAACAAATCGCGTTTGAAAAAGATGCGGTTTCCCTTTTTCTGATCCTTGGGCTCGGGAAATGGATAATTGGCACGAAATCCGTAGCCATAGGCGATTAGTGTGTTGATTTTAAGCAAGTTGTTTTTCGCATTGGTACGCCACTGAAAAGCAAAAAAGTGTGTGTGTAGAAGGGATTGAAGGGTGCCTGCTTATATAACCCACCGACATACGCGAGCCCTTGGGAAACTCCAAGTAGCGTTTGCCCCGTCTCAGTATCCTGGTTTCATTGTTACCTGTCACCTGGTTAAAGTTGTCATAATGCATGTCAAAGTTGTTGCTATTGCTATCATGGCTGTGGCTGGGACTGGGATCGGCCATTGCATCACCAACCGCATCGAAATTGTCAGCACTTTGAACGACAGTTGGGCACATTCCAAACAGAAGCAGCATCAACAGCAGCAGCAGTCGGGTAGCTGCTGATGGGCGTGCTGACAGGCACAACAAGGAATCGCTGGTTCGACGTTTGAGGCTGTCAATTCTGCCGATAATTAATACTCTTCCAGCCGTCGACATCATATTACGACAAAATTTGTTCCCTTTTTCTGTTATTTTATTTCCCTCAATTTTACAACAAACTTTTGTTTACATCGTCTTTGGCTTGCGTGATGTTGTGCTCGCGGTTGAGCTCGTGCGACGCGCTTCAGTCCAATTTTTCCTGATGACTGATATGTCTGGTATATAATATCAGTTTGACACAAATACCGGTAAAGACAAACCTCAGCCCCAGCTCCCGCCTCAACCCAAGGCAAACAGACAAAAAAACAAACAACAAAAGTAACCAACTGAGAAGTCGTTGCCCTCTTCTCTTTGTTGTTGTTATTATTGTTGCGTTTGCTTATTTACTTATTTATCGCTTTGTGTTGTTGTTGGTGCTGTCACATAGCAAGTCTCTGTTTCTGTTTTTACTATATTTGTTTATTTCTTCTATTTTTTCCCTTACTGGCCATTTTCTGCTTGTATTTAGAAGAGCGCCGTACATGCCATCCTCTTGTTAACACTTTTTCTCTATCTGCATCTGGCACAACTCTTCATGTTGATTCGTGTTGCCATGAAGAATTTACCGCGGGAAGCATAGACGCAGTCATGAAATAGGTGTGAAATTTGAATCGAGCTTAAATCTGTTCAAACTTTGCACTTGATAGTAAGGAATTGCTAATTGCTTTCATGTAGAATTTTCCAGATGTTCTGTTTTGATATTTAAGATAGAATACAAGATTTTAATGTATTCACTTCTTTTTGGGAAATGTTCTATATACATTCATAACCTAATCCAACTCTTGACTAGTTTTTAATTCACTAATAAGTGAAATTATAGATGATTTTAAACCTGCGATATGCACATCACTAAAAGAGTAAGAGTTAAGGTAGGCGGAAACAATGAAAGAGACAGAGAGAGAGAGAGAGAGAGAGAGAGAGAGAGAGAGAGAGAGAGAGCGAGAGAGAGAGAGAGAGAGAGAGAGAGAGAGAGAGAGAGAGAGAGAGAGAGAGAGAGAGAGAGAGAGAGAGAGAGACAGAGAAAAAGAAAAAATATGAGAAGAAATAAAGTTTATTGTAAGTCAACGCAACTCGTGAATAAAATGTTTAAAATAAAATGATGAAAATGCCGTCCGTCAAGACTTGAAATTTTAGCTTTGGGTACTCCTAGTGCTCGCTCAGATCGCGTTTGTTTCAGATATTCGATAGCTTGTCGCGTTTCCAAGTAATCGATAAAAATCGATATCGACATCCTGTTTTTTGAGCAAATAGAGTCACCAATCCTGATATGTTGCTTCTAGAATATCATATATATATATCAAGTATCTTTCATTTAATACCCATCGCCACACGCCCGATACCACCAAAAAGCTATAAATCAAGTTAATAGCCCAACTTATATTGCCCACCAATCTAAACCACAATTTTAATGCAATTGACTTTTTGAGATTACACAATTATTCTGTGGTACAACAAGATATACTGTAGAAAATTTTATCAAGATCGGCTAAGAAACACAAACGTTATTAAAGAAAACGTGCTTTGACTTTCCTCGTATCAACGTCAGCAAGCGCAAATTCCAAGAATTTCTCGTCTGTTTCCAATTCTATCAACTGCATTGGAATTGCGCTTGTTTTCGGAAACCTCTTACTGGTTTACAATTTATTTTTAGGTAAATGGTTCCGTTAAATATTCGGCATATACTTAGTAAAAACAGATTTCCTGCTTTACTTACGACAGTTGTGATCTAGATACCCTCAACTTCAGGGTACTTCCGACTAAAGGGCATTAAAGATAGCAGGCCAAATACATACAAGTTAGTGGTCGATGGGATTATGGTATCTACTTGTTCCTTTTCAAAGCACATTTATGTCATTTTGAATTCACGCATAAAAGTTAATGATTTAATATACATTTTTATTATTGCTACATAAAGCCACACATCATTAAATTGTCATGACTCAGCTGCTGAGTTTATTAGAAGATTTATCTTAGTTCGTAGTATATTCCAGGGATCCAAACAGTTAGATGTTATCCGCTAAAAAAATTAGCTAGATACGCTTATCTTAGGTTTACGTTTTATAATATGCAAGAAATATGATTTTATTAATTTTTATTCGTGAGAAAAAATAAGAAATGTATTTGTATTTGGCCATCCCTGGTATGTCCTTAACAAATATTGTCAGCTGTCTATGTCAACTGGAAGTTTCTCAGCGCTTAAATGCTCCACTCAATTTTCACTCAACTGTCATGTCAAGCAATTTTCCGAGCTTGTTGATTGAATTAAATTTCGAAAAGTTTGCCAAATGTATTTGTTGTTGCTTCGACGCTGCTGTTGTTGTCGTTGTTGTTATTGTTGCTGTTGTTGTGTTTCTTTTCAATTAAATAATGTTCGGGCTTTTGTGCAGGTCGAGGCTCCAGACGGCAACGGACACTGACACACATCCGTCAGCCACAGCCCGCCTCGTTGAGGCTCTTTTCCACTCTCGGAGCCAGACAATACAGCTCGACATGGCCCCGATTGGACAAAATGGGGTGCATGTTAGCTGTGGAAGAGGGGGAATGCAGGCTGTTGAGAAAAATGAATTGCCATTTATATCCCGGTGGCAACAAGTGACCGGGATGCCAGGGGGACTGATAGGTGAGTGGCCATTAAAACAATTTCATAAGACAATTTTTAGTATTGCAATTTATTGGGCATAATAATTTTTCGGCGGAGACGAGTATTTTCCAAACGCCAACTCTAGTAGCGAAAACTGGCAGCCATATTGCTTGGCACAGTCAACATTGTGGGCGTGGCGATAGGCATTATCGTAGTGCACAATATCTAAATTTTCGTGCAGCTCTCGCGAAAAAATGCGCTGCTTAGGCAGACTACACGAGAGAAAGAGGGAGAGAGAGGGATAGAGGGAGAAAAAAACATACATTTGTATTATTTAGTTACTCTATTAAATATAACTATTATATATTTATTTTTATATATAAATATTTAATAACTAATTGACCCACCTGAAGATTGTACGCAGCATCTCACCAACCATGTTCATCTTTGTACGCTGAAAATACTGACGACTTTCGCAGAGAGTACGCAAAATGCAATCACGCCCATTGTAACCCATGCTGAAAGTCGCAAAGGTTTGTAAAAAATTTATTTATTTGTATAAAAATCAAATCTAAGAGATGAAATGTATTCGGAGTGCAGATGGACTTTGGACTTAATTTGGGGGTTAATTAAGACTACCATTTGGTGCCATATACCAAAGCATATTTATAGGATCAACATAGTGCCATTACTTATCAACAATAGCTTCAATATCCTGATAGATAGCACTTCTGGCTCGGCGCCGTAAAACTGCTGCCGTTGTTGGACGCCGTGAGAGGCCGTGCAGGCTCTCCAGGATCCACGTATTGTTGGGCAGATCATAGGCAACGCCCCAATTTAGGCCGAAACTATTGTGGGCATAGTAGGGATTGCCAATGATGCCCACAGTGAAGCACACAGAAACCTGAACATTGAAAATGGCAAAAAATCAGAGATATTATTCCACTTGCTTCGCCGGGTCGAGGGTGATATCTAATGTGACAGTGACACATACGGTAAACGAGGAGCCCTCGGGAAAGCTGAGATAGCGTCTGGGCCGGCTCAGTACGCGCACGGATTTCGCCGGCGAGACGGCGGACGGAGCAAATGACGCAGACGTTGTCTTTGCACGTTCCATCATATTCATCAATGTTGGCGTCGGCCATAAATCATTGGAAGCGTTGGCACTGGGAAGTGGGGCGTCGGTTTCATGGCTCATGAGAGTAGTTGGCAGCCAAGTGGCTGCATTTGCAGCACTTGTCGTTGCAATTAAATCGTAAATCAAAAACTTTGCAACAATTAAACGATAATTAAACAATACGAGATGCGCGTAAATCATGGCCAGGTACGTGCAACACAAGTCGAAACTCTGACTACAACTGCCAGCAGACAACTGCAACTGCAAACTGCCGCAGACAAAGGGTGAAGAATTGCTGCCAAAGAAATTGCCAAAGTGCAAATGTGCCAATCGACAGTTGGCGTCGGAATCCAAGCTGCAAGCTCGTTGCAGTGCCACCACTTCCAGTGGCAGTCACAGTCACGTTTACAATAAACATGGCGCAGACAGACCACACAGCCAGGGACACATATACACACATACCCACACATTCATTTAGAAGCTGTGGCATGCCTAGACAGTTGCTGCGCTTTAATTGAATTGCCTGCAACGGTCTCTGGGATGAGGCATCCACCTGCTGGTCGTCGTGGCATGTGCCTTGTGCAAAAATAGTTAACGCCTGTGGCAAAGTCAAAGATGCCGCCGCCGACAGCGACGATGAAGATCGATCGTTTGATTGCCATTCAATTGATGGAGTGGAACAGAAGCTGCCCGAAGTTGGTTAAACTTAAATAATTTTATGCGTTATTAGCTTTTAAATGTATATAGTATATAGTAAGTATATATAGTAAGTATATTCCGACCCGGGCTTTTAAAGAACAGCCGAGTATTTAAAGAACTTTCTATAGCTGAAACACCAGAAGATGTGCGCGTACCTAATTGAGGAGCTTTACTGTTTCAAAATGTCCTCGAATTATAAGAAATAAAAATATGTTTGTTTACTTGTTAATAGTTAGTGTACCTTTATTGTAAGGGTATACACAATATTTCCCTAAAGCTTTCAGTTCAGTTCAGCAATATTTGCAATTGTATTCACAAATTTGCAGAAGTGAGCGCTTAAGCCTATTTAGAATAAAAAATTTAATTTTATAAGTTACAGCCCTAACTCAACCTCATGACGAAAAACGTAATCTCTATATATAAAACCGTTTGTCCTGACTGACTGACTGACGGACTGACGGACTGATTGGTGATCAGCGCATAGCCTATACCCTAAATGCTAGGAAGCTGAAATTTTTACTGTAGTTACCTTATGTGATGAAGGTGCACGTTAAGACGGGATTTGGGGAATTCCACCCGCAAGTGTGGAAAAATCGCGAAAAACTTTTCTAAGAAGCTTTT